TTAAGCTTTATCAGAAGACATCTTTGCTTTAGCAGTCTGCAATGAAAGAAAAATAGAAGTTTTACAGTAAGTTAAACAGGAATTTAATTTTAAGTGTTCATGCAAATATTATATTCAACAAAATTGAATTGGGAGGGGGGGATTAAAATTGTTTCTTGATGTTAAATGTTTCATCTCATCTATTTTGTTGCCTTCATCATAATTCATAAGGTAGGAAGGAAAAAAGTAAACATTGAAAAGTGTATTTCTTCAAAAAAATAAAAATCATCAATGTGTGATACAATGAAAACAAAAACCACACAAACACACTGCCATCCATGTTCAGTTCATACATATATAGAATGTATTCCCTCATTTAAAAACACTTGGAGTTAGACAAAACTAAATAAAAGAATAAAAAAGTACAGTGAAACTTAAGTTGCTAATGTATACACCCACCACCCAATAAAAGTTGGAAAACAGATGTTGGAATAATTTTGTATACTTTTTAACAATTTCTCAAATTGTATTTGAGACTATCAACAACACAAATATGAAGAATATTCCTGGTTTTATTGTCTGTATCCTGATGGTTAATTTTATAAACACAAGCTGGTAGTGGGGGAATTGTATAGTTGTATCTTTCAAAAAACTAAATTTAGAACCACTGTTTGCTGGCCTGAACCCTTTTATTGTATTATGCATCTCACAAGACTACAGTACATTAACCTCCCTATGTGAAAGAATTAGCCATGATAAAAAGAACTACAAATGAAGCATTGTTTTTGGCACCCAAAATTTTAAAGAATATTTACATTGAAGTAAAGAGATCAGTCCTCCAAATAAAAAAACAAGTATGCATGTAAGAAGGTTAGAGTGATTTCACCAACAGTGTCTCTGCTGTATACTAAGAAGATAGAGATCCCTAAGAAGAAAGATATCCCACTGGATGGAGAGGAAAAAAAAAAAAGGACCAGCGCACAAGTCAGAAATAAATACTAACCTGCAAAATTCCAACAATGACACCAAAGAGTCCAATGGCGCTACCAAAGATTTCCACAATGAGAATTTTGACAAATAGACTGGCATTCTGGGCATCTGCAAGGGCAGCACCAGAACCAACAATTCCAACACAGATTCCACAGGCAAGATTACAAAGACCAACGGTGAGCCCAGCCCCAAACATCATGTAACCTGAAAGAAAAAAAAGTTATTGGACATTTTTTCTTGATTACACACATAATTACATGTGTCTTGGTTGCTTTCATATAAAAAGATGTAGCCCAGATTTTATTTTAAAATTAGCCCAACATGATTTTTATTCGAGACAAAATGTTCCACTTTTCCTTGTACTGCCCAAGTTAAGGCAAGAAAGAAAAACAAAAGTTTTTAACCATAATGTTTGACAGGGAATCAGTGAGGGAGAATTTGGGTAAATCATTACCTCTCCTCCAACTTTTTTTACTTGCCTAGGAAGTAGGCTGTAATGTTCATTGTCAACCTTGACCACGACACAAATTTATCACAGGATAAAGAAAGCCATAATTATTACAGCTTTGACAAAATAAGTTATAAATTCAAATTACCTTTATTTAAAAAGAAAATGGAGTTTAAATAAAGTGCCAATTCATGCTGCAATCCCACCATTTTTGAGGAGTTCTATGCATATTATATAAATATATTTATATAAATATATTTATATAATATCCATAGAACTTATCGAAAATGCTGGGATTGAAACATGAATAAAAAATTCATCCAAAAATCTAATAATCATCTTCAAAATATTTTTGACAGCAAGAGCAAAAAGTTTTCAATAAAAACTAGCTCATGAAGTTTTAATAGTGAAAGATTTGAAATGGAGATTCAGAATTCACACTTAAAATAGAAGCTAAGTAAGTGTTTAATTAATCTGTTGTATTTTTAGACATTCAATGGTATCTATAAATTAATTACTCCTGGTATTATATAAACTGCTTTTTGCTCAATATCTTTTCATGTTAATAATTTTATGTGTTTAATATAACAGTGACTCAAAATGGAAACACCCCTTGAAAGAAAAAATTTAGTAAGGATGGCACCAATAAAGCCTATCTCAAGATCAAGCTGAAGCAAGACAATCACTTAGTAGACAAAAGGTATCTGAGTGTCTTGCAAGAAAAAACTGTAGGAGTAAAACAGATTCATGCAATAGTTCATTTTGCTAATACTAGCAGTAGAGCCCGGCGTTGCCCGGGGATGTAACAGTAAGAGATAGATCAAGTATCGACCATCATAAAGACTGAAAAATAAAATTGACAAAGATTATTGTTTAAGGTTGACGGACATGCATGTCTTAATTAGTTTTTTTTTTTTTTTTTACGAATTGGTCAAACCCAAATTCAAACAAAAACATTGTTTACAATCGTTATGAGTCTATCGATTGGTGAATAGAATTTTATTATAAACAATTGTCTTGTAAATGGAATTTTTAAAGCATTCTGAATGTAAATAAAGAAAAAAGTGTGCAAGACAATAAGAAATACTACCTGCCGAAAAAAAAAAGTGGATGTTTGTTTTATCGGCGGAAAAATGTAACAAATCCGATCCCATATATAAAGGAACACACACAAACAACCTGGGTTTTTTAACGTAAGTCACTCCACGGAATCGCTAAAACATAGAGCATGGTCTGATGAAAAAGACGCCAAAGTTTATGAAAACAAAATTTTATCGTCAAAATGCTTATGTTTTTATGAAGAGGATAGACTAAATTTTTTTTTAATTATTTTTAAAAAATTTTTCCATCTTTTTAGAATATTCTAAATTTTGATTTAAAAAACCTTTGTTTCTCTTTGTCGCAACAAGGGTAGTAAATAACATAGATAATTTTTAGCACGTTTTTTTGTATTTTACACATTAATTTGGAAAATCTTGCAAAAATAAAAATAATTGTCGGATGTTAATGAAACTTTAAGAAAGTATTCACAGATGATCGAAATTATTATAAATATGTTTTTTTTTTTTTTTTTTATTAAAGTCATAGCAGAAATATTTTTTTTTATATTTATTAACACCCCCATAACTAATTTTATGAAAAACTCTAGAAATTCGAGACCATCGGTTTTAGTGATTACAATAGTTAAAAGCACAAGGCTTTGAAGAATGCAAATTGTTTTTTTTTTGTTTTTTTGGCCAACGTACCTGAAAATCAGCTGTGAATTGTAACAATACAAAACTCAATAAAACAAATATATTATTTAGTTTCAAATGCTTTTATTTGTTTTAATTTGTTTTTATGAATATGGACAATATTTTCTGAAAGAAAAAAAATTTTTCAATGAAAATTGAATTTTTAATACAATTATTTATTTCTTTAATTTTAAGATTTTTAAAAAATGTTTAAATTGAATTTAAAAAAATATTTTAACATTAGTTAAAACTTAAAAGCAACATCAACCTTTCAAAATGTCCGTGTGAGATTGTCATTGTCTAGCGCTTTGAAAATTGTATAATTTGGACCAATCAGATTAGCCATGGTAATTAAGAAATGTAATTTTGTGTTTATAGTCGGACAGTAATTATCAAGTACGGAAGACCAACCAGAATACAATTTAGTTGCATTATTTGAGTTCAGCATTGTTCTCCGCTGTTAAGCCCTTTTACTTTTTAAGAAACACTTATGGAGAAGTTAATTTGAGTTTTCAATTTCAACTGAGAAGGGTAACAGTATCATCTTATGAAATTTAACTACTGCTAAACTTTAATTTATATGATCTTATTTTTATATTAATCTCAGTTATGACATTTTTTCCATAAATGAAATATCAAAATTAATAATAAAATGAATGGAAATACAAATAACACAGTAAAATGTAATAAATGTACATAAAATTATAGTATTTTTATGTACACTTCTGATAAAATTTCATAAGAAAGGTACCTAAATTAATTAGATACCTTTTTTCTTATGAAATTTAATCTCACTATTAACAGTCTTATTTTTTTTAATTTCTTTATATTTTCCATAAAGCATCGTAAACGTAAAAATGAAAGCTAAGTACAAAAAAAATTTTTTAAAAAAAAAAAAATTAGAGCGCTGAAAGTTTTCCTTAAAAGTAACGAGGTAAATAATTTGTTCACTTAAATAATTTCACTTCCTTCCATCCAGAGAAAGAATTCTCCTCCCGTAAGTTATCTAAACGTCATGAATGTGCCTTTTCGTCAAGGTTTACGCGAAAAGGTTATGACCGGCTTTGTTTTATTTTCAAATTACATTTTTTCGCACAGAAGCTAAGTTAAGCTTGGTTCAAAATATTTTAATGAACAGTATAATTTCTGTTTTTTATTAAAATCAGTTTTGAAAAAATGATAATTGACTTTAAAAAGAATATCAAAGTAAGATTTTAATCTTTTAAATCGAAAAAGAATGATTGAAAATGATTCTGTTTTTTTTTGACCAAAAAAAAAAAAAAAAAAAAAAAAAAAAAAAAAAATTTTTAACGAAAATTTCAGATGTGCTAGGAACGATTAAAAATGTAAAAAATACCCGCAAAATACTTTGATCTTTCCTCTTTAATAATAATATGAACATTAGACGATAAAATTTTGTTTTCGTCAAGTTCGCCGCTTTTTCATCATGCTATGCTCTTTTGTTTACATTTTCATGGGTGAGTTGTCCCCCTTTCATTCTCACGATGTGTCTTAATCGTGTTTTCAAAATGATTTTCTTAAAAAACAACTGTATTTTTCCCCATTTTCGGCCCCGTTATAACCACCACAAGGTAATTTTATGTAGTCCTGTGAAGTTTTGTTGAAATCGGCTAAAAAATGTAGGAAATTCGATCCAACATATAAACGTTACAGACACACACACACAACCTGTGTTTTATAATAAGATGAACTAATTTCATATAATTATTTAAAAAAAATATGATTCCTTTGCTACATAAGAGTTTCAAAAACAAGAGCCAAAAACTTCAATTATTAAAATTAAATTGACTTAAAGTATCAAGCTCTGTTTCATCTTCAAGAGAAATTTTCAGAATAACTAATCTTGAAATTTAACACAAGAACTCTTATGCAGTGAAGGAATCATATTTTTAAAAAATAGTTATAATTTAGGCTCTACTTTTGTATTGAGGAGTTTTTTTAAAAAATAAAAACAAAAATACTAAAGAACTTTGGATTATTTACCTAACGTGTTCTTCCTATTTTTCTATATATTTGCACACACACACATTTTATGTATGTGTGTATATATATATATATATATATATATATATATATATATATATATATATATATATATATTTGTTAAATGACTAAGGAAGTAACCACTCATAAATTTACTACTTTAAGTTGATTTACCTCCCTTCCCAATATAGAGTGTGACATAAAAAAATATACAGCACAGTAATTATTTTTAGTGGACGTCTACATTAAAATTTTGAGTGACTGCTGCTTATTAATGATTTGAAAGCCAAACAATTCTTGAAATGTTTCTCGACTTGACAGATATGCTTAAAAATCCACTTTTGTATATGTAGATACAAATGCAAAGAAACTTAATTTCATTGCATTACAGATACATCACCTATTTTCTGCCACCCTCGGTTCCAAAATTATGCTGGATTATCCATTTTACCAGTAGGGTAATAAAAAATTCAAGAATACACCTCTGACCCATTATTAAGCAGCTCTCTTATCGACAGCAGCATTGGATGTCCATGCCATACCCACTATTCATCCAGTATTCAGGTGAAATTATAATGCTTGTATGTAATTCAATCCAAAGTATAAAGGAGATGCTGGAAAATTGGTGGTGCCACATTACTTAGTTTTCCTTGCTTTGACTGAAAAATCAGCATCCATTTTCTTTTATTCAGTGAGTGTACTAAAGGGTTTCACAACCAAATATATACATACCTGCCATATAATTTTCACGAAGAATGTCTTTGTTTACTTTGGTGATATCAAAATACTGAAAAAAAAAAAAAAAAAGTATATTGAAATATTTTTCAAATATTACTTTGGCAATTAAATGGGATAAAGAAAAAATAAGATTAAAAAAGGGGCCAGCATATTGTGTTAAGGAGGTCATATGATCTATCCCAATATTCTTTAGAGTCTAATTATATATAACACTCTTTTAAGATATCATTCAAGCAATTTTTCTTTGGAGAAATTCTGAAATATTTTAGCTTTGCTAAATAGATTTTTTTTTTTTTATTGAAGAGAGAAATATTAATTTTTGAAAATCTAATAGCTAGTTATATGTTTTGAAAATTACAAGTTTATATCCTTCAATATTTTTTTGTTTGGGAATGTATTTAGCATATATGGACCTTTCCAGTATGAGCAAAATAGTTCACATGTAAATAATTGCTGAAATAGCAACATCCATTGACAGGTCTTCTCTTTGTTTTACAGTGATTAGGTCTCCCAATCAGGATCTCATGGAATTTTCCCTTGTTTTATTCTAACATTGATCTGCAAAGGTCAAATCCAAATCATTGTTACAATTCTGAATGGGTCACCATTCCTACCCATTTTTGCTCTCCTCCTCCTGAGCTAATTGAATGATGATGATGATGATTACAGCACTACACTTAGAATTACAGAAAGGAAAGTAAAGTAACTTTGGATGAGAACCAAACTTCTTTTATTCTGTCAGTGGCATTAACTTTCTATGATAATCAGTATTAGAGATTTTTAAAAGAGGAAGCTAGGAGAAGCAATGTGATATTACTGCATGGTTTGTGAACTTTGAACAACATTAGTTTAAAGAGTAAAACATTTAAGGAAGCAAAGAAAATTATTTTACCTGTGCCTGATTGCCAATGACAATAGCCATGATAATTCCATAAATGGCAACAGCCTCACAGAAAATGATGCTGATAAGATTCTTGGTCCGAATTCTGGGGGCTTTGACACCAGCACCAAGAATACTGGCTCCAGTTGTGTAGATTCTAAAAAAAAAAAAAAAAAAAAAAATTATATATATATATATATATATATATATATATATATAAAACACAGAATTAATGACAGCCATATATCAGATCCAGAAGAAAGGCTATCCTCTGGTGTTTGGGCTCTAAATAATTTACAGACAATTAGCAACTCTGTACAAGAACTGAAAACTGCAAATAAAGTAGAAACATTAATTCTTAGGGGACGAACTTGAAACAAGTTGGTATCTGTTGAAGGTTCTTTATTTATACTCCTTTTAAATTTGTATAAAAAAGAAAAATTTGAAGGTTGACCAGAAACTTGGGAATAAAACTCCCTTTATTATCAATGATGGAAAATGAAGCACAGAAATCTGAGTGCTCATTAGGATAGTGAAAGAAGCTAAACAAAGTATTAAACAGAAAGATATTGTTAGAAACAAAGAAGAAATTACTGAACTGTTATGTAGTATCATTCCTCCTATATGGCAGTGAATGCTGGACAATCTCCTCACAGATGAAGAAGAGGCTTGAAGCAACATAAATGTGATTCTACAGAAGCGTGCCGAGAATACCATGGACTGAACATGAGCCACAAGTATGTTTTTTAGACAATTGAAACAAAAAGGACACTTATACTTAACATCAAGAAGAAATAGTTGAAATTTTTGGAGTACATGAGGAAGGAGTGCTTGGAAAATTTGATACTCACAAGGCTGAGTTTAAGAAAGCAAGGGGAAAGCAATGCACAACCTATTTGGTGAGCTTGTGTGAATAGACGACAGAGCAGGGTTTGGGAGAATTAGCAAAAAGACAAAATTTATTCAGTTGTCATTTACTGCAACTCAGTCATTCTCTAACTATTTAGAAATGGTATAGGTTGGAGAAGATATCTAAATTTTCTATATATCAGAACAATGTTAGGAAAATTAAATGGTAAAAGGGAGAAGATTTTCTGCGAGGCACATTCCATCTGTTTAGGAAATCATTAGAGTGAAGTAATGTTTTAGCTGATGTAATTTTATATATATATATATATATATATATATATATATATATATATATATATATATGTAAAAAAAAAAAGAAAAAACAGACCACTTTAAGGTACCATTACAAAAATTTAGTTCACCAAAATCCTCATCAGGTAACACTTCCAACAATGAAATGAAAGGAAAAATGGGATTAGAAATTGATGGGTAGTGTAATTTTTGTAATTTAACAGGGAGGGTGATCAACGAGACATGGTATAGTATAGAGAGGGGTAAATTTCATATTTCTCTTAAGCATGTTTTATATTGGGGTAGGAGGAGTGACCTAATTGTGACCTATTTAGATGGTTAACTTAACGGAAATGATATATAGGAATGGGAGGGTAGTGGGGGGAAAAGAAAAGGAAAAATGGAAAGGAGAGAGGAGACAGACAAGTAATACAGATATATCTAAATGAGTGTTATGGCAAAGAGAGAGAGGGAGAGGGAAGTGAATTGAAAAGGCTGTAATTTTGTTTTAACAAAATTATGTAAAATATAGATTTCAAAGAAATTTAGATGTCTAAAAATTGATGAATGTTATCAATTTAAACATTTAGTTTTTTTAAGTAAATAGTTTAGGGATAAGTAAGATAAGTTAACTACTATTTTTATTAGCACATTAGGGATTTAATATAAGTTAACTATTTTTATTAGCACATTTATCGAGAACATATTAAAGAAATATTTAAAATTATAATAGTTTATTTACCTGACCAATTGTACTTTCATAATATTGTAAAAAAATTTTGGTAACAATAACATCTATATTAGTTTTACTTTAAATCTAATTTATGAATGCAATTTTTCTTTATTATTATATGGGTAAACTTAATTAAGGTTTAGGTTTCATTATTTAATAATATTTGAGGGTAATATTAAAGATTTTGTTTTCTTATATGTATCTCACAAAAACATATTCATGCAAAACCATTTACATGTGCAAATACACACAGACACACGTGCAACAATATACACAAATGTTCATCCATAAATTACATATACACACATACATTTCTCAATCATTACCTATATTTTAACGTTTGAAATTTATTTAGATTTTAGTTTGATTTTATAGTTAAAGTTTAACTTTAGGTGACTTCTGAAGTGCTTCATTATTAAAGGGATTTCGTTAATATTATTATTACTATTAATAGTTAAAGAGTGGTATATTTAAAATTATCAATTTATCATTTCGTTGTTGGAAGTGTTACCTGATGATCCGGAGTCCTTGAAAAAGGATTTTGGTGAAATAAATTATTGTAATGGTACCTTAAAGTGGTCTGTTTTTTTCATTAAATATTAGCTCTGTATTCACATTGAGCTCTCAGGATTTCATCCTCCTTGGAATTACCCATTTGGTTTACCAAGTTCTTCGTAACTTAACTATATATATATATATATATATATATATATATGGAGAAGAGAGGGAAGATAAATACACAAACATTGGTTATAGTTATGCAGAGATAGGAAATGCTGAAAATATTAATACACTGAAATTTTAAACTTTTAAATTTGCCTTCGTACATATATATAATTACATCAACAATAAAATTACTTTAGTCCGACAGTGTCCTAATGGATGAAATGAGTCACACATTTTTTCTTTCTACACTGTTATTCATTTTCCTAAAATAAATTGGTTATAGAGAGTAAACTAGGTGAGACTTGTCCTTGTATGTTTTTCTACTTAAACAAATTTGAATCTCTGTAAAAGACTGTTTTATTTTTGATCTTTAGAGTTTTACTAACAATAGAATTAATAGTTGCAAAAAAAATGAAAAAAAAAAAAAAAAAAAAATGAAATTAAGATGAAAGAATACTTTTATTTTACTGTTATTTCTCTTCAGGACCTAAACAGTTAAGGCTCTCCACACATTTCTCTTCATTATATGTCTTCTTGGGGAAAGAGAATGGTTTTCTATGGCCTTCTCCAAAGATTTGAATTCAGACTTGTCTTTCTAGACTAGCTACCATCCAATGCTAAATAGCCCAGTTTAGGCTGCTATTTCATTCATTGTTGGAGTGAGAAGACAAATTCTTACAAGGGCATTAAATACAACAGATTAGGTGCAGACGAGGATTCCCCCTTTTCTGTATTGATAACTGTTATTCTACCCAAGTAATTAGCATATTTCCTTTGATTAAAATAAAATCTGAGAGTAATCCAAAGTTACAATACTCAAATGTGTAAAAAATTACTAATGAAATGGATTAATATTTTAAGTCATTAATATATCCAATATTGCAGATCTGAGCATGTTTTGTACATTATCAGCAGAGTCCACTACATAGAAATGGGCAAAATGCCCATCTTTCTGTAGTGAACTTTTCTGGTGACATAGAAATGTCAAAAATGTTTGTACTAGAAATATTGTGACTGGTTCTGTAGATAAACAACCTTTTAAAATAAGTTGTAGTTGAATATATATATATATATAATTAAAAATTATTTTTCAATTATAGGCACTACCGTGGTTAACTGGGCTGTTTGCAAAATAACTTCTTTTAAACAATGTTTGTAGATTATCATTCATTAGACCTCCCTCTAAGCAAGCTGTTTGTCAAAAATTGAAAATACTGAATTAAAAAAAATCATTTTGGGGATGGGAGGAGAATTTCTGTTATTAATATAGTGTCAAATTGATCCCTAACTTTTTAAAAAGTGTCATCTGTAACTATTTACATTATTTACATTGTTGTCCTCATGTTTATTGCCATATTCATGTTTCAGCTGTTATGCTTTGGCCTTCTTCAGGTGATACTTGTTGGAATTTTAAACTGAGCCCTTTATTTAGTCCACGAGGAAAGATTGTCCTAATTCCACTTGCCATGCTTTTGGATTATCTCAGTTTCAATTAATTCCTCTCAATAACTCTCCCAAGTTTTTTGGTTCCCTCTGCCATGGCCAGGTATTGAACTCATAACTCTTTGGGGACCAAGTCACTCTTTGGATCACTCAACCAACACTTATCTGTTGGGTCAAAGATACTGTCATTTTTGACAGCCTAGGTAAACTAGTTGAAAATAAATAGAAAAAAAATACAAAAGAAAATTAATGCAATTAGTAGTCTTTTATGGTTCTATGGCATTTAAATCTTTTATGTTCTATGGCATAAATGCAATTTTGATGGGATGAGAATTACTGCTTTAAAAAAAAAAAAAAAAAAAAAAAAAAAAAAAAAAAAAAAAATAATTACTTCAAATCTCAAGACAATGAAAAAGAAATGAATTTGATCTAATGCCTTTAAGTGTGCTTGGACATATTTTAAATATCAAGTAGACAATGATACTTATTAGGTAAGAAAGATGATGGGAGGGGGAGGAAAAAGAAGGAATGATAAAGTGTGGGAGAAGTGATAAGTGATTCTTGAATGAGAGACTTGGAAAGTTTGAATGACATCAAGAAGAGAGGCAAGAAAACATGTAACTCTTGCATAATAATGAAGTTATTATCATGAAAAAAAAAAAAAAAAAAAAAAAAACAAAAAACAACAGTAGTGCATGACATGGCAAATGGTTAACTTTTTATTACAAATCCAGCAGTTGCTAAACAACAACTAGCCACTGTTTGGTGAAAATAAATCCAAAAACTAACATTCCTACAAAACAAATATTTATCATTCTGTTCTAATTGTGCTTGTTCCTCCTTTCATTAGTTAGCACAACCATTATACCCTGCCAATACCTCATAAATCATAGACTATTCTACCTTGATTGTGTGGAAAGAGGGTAAAAGATACCGTTTGGTTTCAGTGAGAAAATGAAAGAAAAAAAACAAAATAGAAGTGGATTAGGCTGATAAGAACAGATACTACACTTTCATTTTAGCCAAAAGAACAAGAGTGTTGACAACTGCGATAATAGCACCATTTTTCAGGCATTGAACAATGGAAATCGAGTAAGGTAATTGCCAAAAGTCAATCATTAGCTGAAGAATTAAGATTCTTCAATATTGGGAAACTGAAATTTACACAGGTGAAAACTAGTAATTATATAATTGTTCTTCTGTTATATTCTATCTTTAAAAGTCCGGTTGAGGGGGGGGGGGAATAAAATGTTGTATTTCTGCTATATCTGGGTTGGGACTTCTAAATCCACGTTTCAGCTTTGATAGAACTTGAAATCTTTTTACATGGTCTTGTGAGAAAAGGCTTATTCTCTACCCCCAACCCCCCCTTCCGCCAAACATGCAACATCGGAAGCCCATTTCTATTTCTATTGCATATATTCAGATAAATATTCCATCAATTCTGACATTTACAGCTAGGACATGGCATGCCATTTTCGCAGAGTTGAACCACCCTCATTTCCTCTGTGTTGTAAAAAGAAAGTTTCACAGTTCAGACAGCTCCCTATCCTAGAAGAACTACTTTATAGGACAGATTCTCACATAGACACTGAATACAATCTTGACCTCTTCACTTCCATCACTACCTCTTTCATTAATCATAATCTTTTTATTAGTAACACTACCTTCAATGACTCTTGAACCTTGCATTAGGTGAATTTTATTAAAAAGAAAAAAAAAATAAGGGCAGTTTAGTTCAATTTATTAATATTTTGAAATAAAAGATGAAATTTAATTAAATTTAACTTAGTTATGTGCCATGCGTGATACATGCTTAGGTGATAATGTATCTTTCAAGTCTGCCTTGCTATTTACCCATGTTTGGCGGGGTAGAAGAAGAGGATTCATACTTTTCCCAAAGGGTATTAGCACATAAGTGAATGTAATGGATTGAACTGGAATTTGAACTTGGCTCTATCTCATTTAACATACTAATGACAACCATAAAATCCTGTTTTAATTATGTTTTTACCTATAACCTATTAGTGACAATTGTTTCAAAAGTGGGATGGTAGTTATGAAGGTGTTAAAAAACTGAACAAGTCTCAAGTGATTACTGACTGGCTCTTTCTCACCCAGGGACAATGTGAAAGTTGGAATTATGCAATTTTCACATATTTAAATGTGCTAATAATGAATTTGACTTTTTGGGGAGGAAGAGGAGGAAGGGGTTGTTAATCATTTTACCACAAGCAAGGCAATAAAGCCACTAAGATCCAAGGGGGTTACCTAGTGTCACACAATAAAGGAAAAAGAAAAGCATTTAAGAGAGAGAACAATAAAAGAAGAAGAAAATAATTGACATTGATTTAAAAAAAATTTAAATGCAAAGTTGACTGGAAGCAAGAAGCAGGGTAAGAGTTCCAGAAGCAGAAAGTGCGAGAGAAGCTACTGTTAGCATAGAACTTATGCTTACATCTAGCCATTTCAATAGTAAAATGAAGAGACCTAATTGCCAATCTAGTACAGCACTTAAATTTGTAAAGTCTAGGTAACAGAGGAAAGCTCATCAGAACAATTACCATGAAAGTATTTATAGAAAAAGTACAGAGAAGCTATGTTTTGGCCATGGGGAAGTGATTGAAGCAGAGATTCCAGGACCAATAACATTGCAGATCCTTCTTTGGATTTCATCAAGAATTTTGGGATATATAGCAGAAGAGCCAGACCAGATGTGGCAACAATATTTGGTACATGAGCTAATGGTATTTATAAATCCATGGCCACTTGTGAACTGTATTTGAAGTGACATCATTTCTGGAAATTTAACTTGCCTTTTTGTTACAACCTAGGTAATTTTGTCCCCACCCCCAATACATTATAATACACTGATTTGTTTGGACTAGTGCTATCTTGGTAGTCACAATCACAATACTTCAGCCTTCTTCAGGTGCCTGTTGTAATTAATAAACTTCTTGAGAACACTTTTGGTTAATTCTATCTTGTTAATTTGTACTTGTAATATAATTTCTATTCCACTAAACTAAAGTAAAACACTTTTTTTCTGCCCCATCCAATCCACGACTGCAGTAACTAGATTTGCTTAACCAACATTTTTATCTACTAAGCCATGTGTCCTGGTGGAAACTTGGAGCCTTAAACTAATTTTCACCCATCTCTTCAATTGAACTAGAATATATGACATACATTACCTGTAGTGTTATTAGGTAGTGGAATTTATTAAACTTATGTTTAAAGATAACCCAGATGGTGCTCATTTCTATGCTAGGCCTACTGAGGAGATTATTATACTGATTCTAATAGCCTTACTTAAATGTCTTAGAATCAAGAATCTCACTATGTTTTAAATGCATTTTCAAGACATTAACTTTCAAAAGAAATAATGGACTAAGTAAGGTCTTCTGAAGGAATATAGCACATAGGCAATCATTGTTCTCCACAACTTTCTCTTCTTTGAACCTCTTAGAAAGATTTGTCTTTTCACTATCTCTCCTTGTTAGGTAGGTTATGCACAGTTTTCCTCTTACTTTCAATATATGAGGGGGTCTCAAATTCTCTAAACCTTTTTTCCCCTCATTATGTGCCCTAGAAATTTCAATTGTCTCCCTGATGACAAGAATAAATGTCCTTTTATTTAAATTTTCTCCTGAAACTTTGTTACTCACATGTTCAGTTCATAGGATTCTCAGCATCTTTCTGTGGAACCACATTCCTGTCAACTAAAGTTTTTTCTTCAGTGATGAGATTGTTTAGACTGATATTACACAAGAATTCAATACTCTTATTTCTGTTTTAACAGAAGACAGAAGATGCAACACTGAAATCTGAAGGCAAATTTTGAACAGTTAAAGATGCTTTCCAAATGCTAAGCAAAGTATTAAGAAACAGGAAAAGAGTACTAAGTAACTAGCAAGAGTAAAAATATTGCTATATCAAATTTATTTTGAGAAAGCCAATAAGTCATGGCTGATAGACTAAGAGATGCTAGTGGTTGTTTACTTACCAAGCAGCACCAACAACAGACAAAGAAATGGCCAATCCAATGCCAATCATGGACCACATAAATGGAGAGGAAGCTTCAAGGAACCTGAAAGTAAATATCAAAAGCATAAAAGATCAAATTGTTAAAGCATCAACTTGGTCGTTTAACTCTTTAGCATTCAACCCACCTAAACCTGCCCTGTAAATATTAGCTTTCAATATTCAACCCCCACCATGTATACTCTGCCATAATATATGATGACATTGCAAATAATGCAGGAAGTCATGTAAACAGTGAGGTTTTGAGAGCCAACATTTACGGAGTGGTTTTGAGCGTGTCCAACAGATAGAAAAAAGTAGATTAAGAACATGTAAGATTTCATCTCTGATAGGCACTGGCACATATGGCTATATTCAGCTTTGTTTGGCACAAGGCTACAATTGTGGAGCACTCTGGTGAAGATCAAATCCACTACATGATAGTAATAAGTTAGCTTGCTAAGCATTCTCACACAACAGGTAAGCAAATGTGGGTGACATGCCCCGTCAGGCCTTCAAGAAATTTTATTTTATATTGAATCAGAGAAAAAGTAAACCAATTTTGTCTGACACAAACTCGGATACACAGAGAGAGTGGTTCCAGAGCAGCATATTCTTAAGCAATTTACTAAGATGGATACAGCATATTCAGGTATGATGTAACTGATTGTACTTTTTTATTTTATTGAGATGAGATATAATAGAAGCAATGCATTCATGTCTGTTATGGAAGAGATAGGGCCAAAAACAAGTCATTCAAGGATTGTTTTCCCACTTAGCAAGAATTTGCTGGTCAATTTTTAGGTCCACAGAAAATACCTGGCACAAATCACAATCTTTAAAGAGAATTTAGTAAAGTGGCTTTCCTTTGCTCAATTCATTTTTTATGGTTTTGTAGTTTATTTAAAGCTCAAAAAATATTTCTAGATTGTAAGAATTTTTTTCTTCAATAATGATTTAGTGATATAAGTCTTAATAATGATTTAGTGATATAAGTCTTAATAAATAGCCGATAAATGAAGGTAGAAAAGGTAGATTAATACGTTTCTCAAGAGTATTTGTGCATAAGTGAATATAACGAAGTCAAACGGAATTGGAACTCAGTTCTCCAGTAAAAATTCCAAGCCATTATCCATTACACCACTTGCATATGCAAACTCACAGTACCTGGTATTCCCAAATAGTCACCCATTTAGCTACTGACCAGTCTCGATGTTGCTTAACTTTGGTGATGGTAACTGGTATTTCAGTGTGATATGGCCATAGGCCCTTTGCTAAGCAATGACTAATTTACTAAAAAATTTGAATAGAAAAAAAAAAAAAAAAAAAAAAAAAAAAGACATAAAAAGCATCTTTTCTGTTGGTTTTCAAGAAATGGCTTTTATATATCATTGTTATATTTTTAGTTATGCTTGGGTTTCATGACAACTAAATAAGACAAGCAATTAAGTAGAATTTAGCACAAATAACTGATAATTTATCATGAACCTGAAACTAGGTAACCTTCAAAGCCATGAAAAATTTTCATGTCCTATAAATGGAATTTGCATTTGAAAAAAAAGTGCATACATTATTTCTCAAAGCTGATTTTTCATTTTCTTTTTACA